TACGACGAAATCAACATGGACCGCAGTAAATGCCTCAGCCTAATCAGTTTGGCTCGTCAGCGTAAACTTGAGTTGAAGGAGAAGACTCGGCTGTATGACAATGAACTGGAACTAATTAAGTCCTGCCTGGCTCATAAGGAGTATCAAGTGCAAATCCTGAGGACGAAACATGCCAAGGTTGTGGAACAATGCACCACTCAACGGAACGATCTGTCCAAGCTGGTGAGTTGATGTCTTTCCTGTAGCGAAATCCATCTCATTAATTAATGTGCTAGGGGGTATTGCCCGGTTTCCACTGCGACAAACCCTTCACACTCTGCTTGCCTTGATTTTCCCGGCCACTCTTCTTGAATATTGAATATGCCTGCCTAGTAGAAGAGGCAATCTGCTTAGAAATAGTGATGGGGTGTGGGCACAATGACATTCTCCCTCTCTTCTTACACTTTTCCGAATTTCATGTTAAATAGATTCTTCCGAAGTAATTAGTCACGAAGCAGACCGCCCTGACAGACCAGTCAGAAGAGTCCCATAAACTCGTATCATATCACTGTCCATTCTTACCTGGCGTTTGAACCGGGCCACACACAGACACAACCTCGACCCTGGAAGTCAGTCAGGATCGGATTAGAATAAGAAGTTAAGTATTTAGCGTTACTTACAAGTGGAAACTGGGCCATATATCAAAAACTTCAATATGTAGCGACTGCCTTTAAACCAAAAGGGCCATCTGGGATTTAATTTTAGGATGCAGTTAATTTAGGATCAAACCCCACTGATCGTTTATGCGCCATTACTGACTTGGAAGTACAAGCGATGCTGTTTCTGGATCAATATATTTTTGAATGGCTAATTGTGTGTTTTTTATTTCATATACACTACGTCTGCGCATTCCTTCTGTGCCTGGAATGTAGAAAAACTCGAACTCTGAAATTACCACTGAAATCGATCGTGTTTCTACAACGGTGAAACATTTAAAGAAGGTTAAGTCACAAACGGAGGCGGACATCCAACTTTTAGACAAATCCTACGAGAAGATGGTGCGCCTTCGCAACGACCGCAGTGCACAGTTGATTGAGCGAAATGAGGAAGTCAGCGCGCTGCAGGTACTTGTTTCACAGCATTATTAATATCACTACTTTCTACTGACAATAATATAGTAGCGCTAGCAACTTGAAAATCTTACGTAGCTTGCGAAATGGATACGAGAAAAATATACCCTCTGGGAAGTCCGCGATTATTGTTGGGCATGCCTCGAACCTCGGACGCTAAGCATTCCACTGGACGGTTGTCATGCCAAGTCCATACAGCTCGCATCGACGTTGATTGATAGTCACGGCTACGGGGAACGGTTGTCCTGACGACAACTGTTGTACCTCCTCCTACTAAGTGTTTTTACTTCTAGTCGACCCTGTGGCATCTATATTGACTCGTTCATCCATACACGAATAAAGAAGAAAGCTGACCGAGTATCGTTACTGCTGGGAATGTGTCCATTCCCACGATCCCTCTGTTAGCATACGCCTAACAAATAGATAGCCTGCGCAAGCGGCGCGCACAGCAGGTTATCGATCGGCCATCGGCAGCAAACACAAATTGCAGCCACCCAATCGATAATTCCAAATTCAATCACACCAATCACGCCAGCAACCAAAATCTGATTTGCCCAATGGACTTAACTCACCATCGTTTGTTCCCTAATTTTGTTGGACCTGACACACTGCTCTGACTTGCTGTACCGTGCTTGTCGCAGTAAACTTCTCCTTTCTCCGGCCAACCCGACTTCTCTCTGTCTCAATCTTACGGGTTCCTTGGCTCGGCGTTTGACTAAGATAGCAGTACCAGGCGGGTCATAACAGTTACAGTTTGTTTATTCTACCGAGCTTTCAAACGCTTGCATGATTTCATCGTCAAAAGTAACAGTGGAGACAAAAAGGGAACCACTATAGGGGGGTATGAACCTGTGGGATACGATGTGGTCCGGTCGGATAATAGGCGACTGAACGTATCCCAACATGTATAAGCTAGTGTATATGATAAGGCGTGAAAGGCCAGAGTGTTATGAATGATTTATTAAGGTTAGACGGAGTAGAATATAAGTAACATGCAAGTGACTCCCAGACAAGTGAAGTCCAGC